TCAAACTGAACTAGAGGATGTATTCAACAACACCTTCGCATCACCTTCAAACGCTTCTAACAGCTACACTAACATCATTTAATCCAAAATTCTGTCTTCCCTGATAGATACAGTTCATAAAATAACTAGCAATAAAGTGCGATGCCTATCCATCATTTCACGCTCGCTGCTCCTCTTCCACTAAAAGCTATACGATGACATTTGGAAACACCGTTGCAACTTATTAATCGCTAAAAAGCGTTCAATGTGCATTACTAAACAAGACAAGCGTAAACGAAGTGCCAGTTCACCCTGCCTCACAGATAAACATCAAGCCTCTCTTTTAACTGGAAGACTTGGATACACCTAGTGAACAAATTTTGCTACATGTTCTCAGATTTTTAGATAGACACTGACGTCTTCTTTATCTTTTTTTGCTGATTTTAATTTTCATTAAGTATGCACTTAGTGGAGTTGATGGAGGGAAAAGACAATGATAGGTCGATTCAAACGGGTTTTTAATATAACTATGGGGATAGCTAGTACTTAGCATAGATTTATTTTCGATTTACTTTGTATTTCCTTATATATAAATTTAATAAAGTTACTGGCAGTACCACATCGTTAAAAAAATAAAAAAATAATTAATAAAAATAATTTACATTCTAAATAATTTTATAAATAAAAAATTTAGTAAAAATAACTTACGCTCTATATTATTAAAAATTTTTGGATAACAGTTTAATTAAATTTAAATTGTATAATTTAAAGTATAATAAAAATATATAGTTTACAATCTATGTATTATCATCATTAAATTTTTTTTTTTTAAAAAAAAATATTTATATTAAATATTAAAGAATTATAAATTGATTGTAAATAATTAATTACTATGGTTATTACAAATCTAATATTTAAATGTTCTTTACTTTCTAACCTTTGAATAATTATTAAGCATAAATAATAGATTATTATATTTGTTGACTAATTATATTTGTTATTGTATTTACCTTTATCACTAGATACTAGTATAATATTTCAAGTTAAAATTTTTAGTAAATTAAAATATAAATGGCAAATTATAATATTATGGTTAATATTATATTTACTTTCAATACCCAAGATTAATTCTACATTATAAATTTTAACAAATTCTTTTAGTATTGGTTAATTATTTATAGAAATGTTGTATTTAACTTCATCAATTGAAACTGATTCTATATTCGAATTTGATAAAATTTAATTTTTAGGAACAAAATGAATATAATTAACGAATTAAAATGTGGTTAATAATACAAGTATTACCTTACTAATGAGGAAGCTTTTTTAGCATCATAAACTAGTTCTAATGTAATTCATGTTCATGAAAAGAATTTAGAATATCATTCAACCGTCAAATTAACTCATTTTGGCTTCATAACTTTATTCCTTTTCTTGTTTGGTGAAAATATATTTGAGTACACTCTTACCAGACATTGTTATAATTTATAATAAAAAATAATTTTTTTTAAAAAAAAACATTTATTTCAAATTATCTTGTATAACGATAAACAGAATGCAATAGTAATACAACGTTTAGAATTAATTACAAATCATTGGTAATTGAAAGCGTTGATGCCTGAAATGCGCATCAGATGTACAACAATGATAATTTGAATCGGAAAAATTTTTGTTCTAATTAGATATAAATAATTTCATCGAAGATAAAAATTACGAGGCACGTTAGCGATGATCATTTGTCGATCATCATCATTTATTATATTTTTGTGCAAAGAATTATGTGTTTGAAGTCTAATTGCATCTCTAGTTGTCTGATAATTACGAACAATTATGAGTGCTTTGGTATGTTGTACAAGATAAAAGAACGTTACTTCGTATAAAGTTTATACTGCGTCATCAATTTGTGCTCCGCATAAGAGCTTTTTTTATGTAATTAATTTTTTATATTTACTGCTCCCGAACTTGATGATATAAATCAATTACCAATCCGTTCTTCGCATCTCTGTTTTTACTGCGGCAACGATCTGAGGTACTACATTCAAACCGGTTTGATTTTTGAATCTTTCTTAAAAATATTTATTTATTACCGCGCCAACTATTGGGATGTGTTAGCTCATTAAATGGATGCGATTGCCGATCGAATTTATTAAACGATCATGATGTAAAAGAAAAACCTGCAATTATTGTCTAACTCTTCTCTGTAAATGGCTTTAAGAGAAGATATCCAAATTTCTTCCTAGACACCATGTATAAATAAATTGTTAAAGTACTTATCACGTGTATTACAGTTGCAAACTAGGATAAGAGCCTGAACCTGGGGTATCTTTTAAGGAAGCCCTAAATTAATAATAAATTCCTTTGTTTAAGTGATGCTGAACAGGCCATTAAACCTTGGATGAAACCTCCATTTTAGACTTAAGTTCGATCCCGTTGCAAGATAACGTGATCTAAAAAAATCTATCGCCCATCAAATGGTAATGAACTTGGTTGAAGTTCGATCAATTGTGATACTTGTAAGACATCTCTCGATCCAATCAAGTGGTCTTTATCTTTGAAAGAATTTCAATCCTAACGCAGTGATACTTGAAAGAAGTCAATCGATCCTGCCAAGAAGTCTGTGTTCCTTGACTTAAGTTTACTACCACCAAGAGATTGGATGGAACGATCCCTTTGCAAGTTATCATGATCTTTGGAAGAAATCTATCGATCCGTGATTCTTAATGTAATCTATTGATCCTATCAAATGGTTATGAAATCCATCGATCTCGTAGCAAAACAATTCTGGTTGAATTTTGATTCTGGCGAGATCTGGAAGAAAAATTTTCTTTAATTATTACCTTAAATTGGATTCATTCGGTCTGCTTTTTCAAATTGAACGATAATATATAATTTATAATTTGAAATAAATGAGTAAATGATAAGAAAATATGAAAAGAATAAAATTTGTAAATGATTTATGAATAAAATACCGTAACAAATGATTTTAATTGGAAACTATTAGAAGAATAATTAAAATCATATAATTTATTATAGAAACATTTTGATATCGCGGGCAGAAAACTCGAAAAAAATTTAAAAATGTAAAATAAGAATTAGTTAGAAAAAAATGTTTTATAAAAAAATGTACAATACTCAATAACTTCACCAAAGGAATAAATACTTATGTTCAAAATGTAAAAAAAAATAATTGGCGTTAGAAAAAATTGTAAACATGTAAAATTTAAAGTAACTTACCAAAAACGAGTTCATGCTAAAAATGGGCTTATTAGAGGGATAATCATGACATCTTACAACGCCATACAATGATCATTTTTGTTGTAATTAGGGATGATAGGTCATTTCAATAGCTAACCAAAAAAACAAAAAGTAAGTACACAAGGTGATTTATCATCATTAATATTTTCTACAATTTGGTACCATACCAATGATTATTTTCTCATGCGGTGTACAGTATTACAAAATATCTATTTTTTAAAAAAAGAAAATTTAAGTTAGTTAGTCCTTCGTATAAGTTAGACAAAACTCTAACGAAACAACTAATAAATTTCTAACACACGAACAAGTATATTCTGCAAGACAATAAACAGGTGTTATTTTTGCCATTTTAATTTTTAATAATACGATATAACCGATTAATCGGATCGAATTATAATCGTCACGAATTTCAGAAGGCTAAGCAATTATTTTTTGTCTGATTCACGACTGAAATCAATTTGCGTATGTTAAAAAATACTTTTATTTTTATTATATATAATAAGACAATTGTTGACGCAATGAGTATATTGGAAAACGCACCAACTCTTATATTTTTTTATTTTTTAAAAAAAACGAACAAGTCTTGTCAATTTAATTAAGAATAAGCATCTTTATTTAATAAGATGATGGATTTCAAGCATTATTACCATTATCATTATTTTTTTCCGGAAGGCGAATAGTGACAAATTTGATTATTAAAGAAGCGAAGAATAATATGAGAATCAGCCACATGATGCATAAATTTGCAAGTCTAGCTTGACAAGTTTTATAAAACAAGCGGTTAACGTAATCATGACAATAATATGAACGATCTCCCGTTTCATGTGCGGTAAGACCAATGTACAAAACTGTTAAAAAGAAAGTTTGATGTTAATAATCCTTTTTTTTGGAGTTAAATATGACATTCGGGGTGGCAAACTTACAGAGAACTGGCGTCGTAATCGCAGATGCACTTTTGATTAAATTAATCAAAGTTTTGACAAATTAGTTCATGTTTAGAAGATGGTTGCAAGATTATTTTTATATAGTTTCAATAGAAATAATTTACCAATTAATTATATAAACAAAGTCGAATTCTCTTTGGAAATAATAAAAAGAATATATTGCAACTACAAAATAAGAAATAATTAATATATAGTTAATACTTTTACAAATATTTTTTTTTTAAAGTTTAAAGCTTACCATTAAGCCCTAATGAGTAAATCAAGTATCTATAAAAAGATGATTATATGATCAGGGTCATAAATCTTAACTTTGAAATTCTCAGTATCAAACATCCTTACATGTAATCCATCGGATTTAATTTGAATTCACCATCTGTTCTATCAAACCAATTTATTTTTGCGCATTCTGATATTTTTTTTTTTTTTTTTAAAAAAAAAACGCCAGCTAAAATAAAAAAAAAGAGTAAAGAAAAGAAAAGAATAAAGCATACGAACCTGCACAAAAACTCATAAAAAAAAAGAGTGCTAAAAGACCAATATATGAATTAAATAGTATTTCTCCGGAATTTAAACACAGATTCATTTAGATTATTTGTTTTAATAAAAAAGATATTTTTTTTTTTTTGTTTAAACAAAGACACTAAAAATCATTTAAATGGTTGCCGAATTGGGTTGACGCCCAAGTAGATCTTAATTTATGTTTATGTGTGCCAATTTCAAATGAAATCCTAAAAATCGCTTATAAACTGCAAATCGGTTTTTTTTTTTTCATTTGGATTTTGCAAAAAAAAACTCTTTTAACCAAATTTTACATTAAAAATTATGGCTGATCAAAATAATAATAATGAAATTAACGAAATTCAAAAATTCGTGAATTTATGGTCAGAGACCTATAAACCACTTGCCTGGACCAGTATAGTTTATTTTGTATTTTGGTATCCTCCATGGACTTTATTTTGTCTTGCTTGGGTGACATTCACTGCTTTGATAAGTCTTGTTTCGTTGATAATCCCTCCTTTGGGTTATTGCTTTTGCATAGGGTCGGTAATATCTTGGAGGTACATAATTTATTATAAATAAATTTCACTTAATTTTCTATATTTTTATTTTTTTTATTTTGTTTTTCTAATTTATTTTTTAACGTCCTACTTTTTTTCTTTTTTTTCCAAATAGATCATTGGCAAGGATTGAGTTGCTAACAGTGTCATATTGTATAAATCCAAAAAATTTTATCAAAGACTCTATCACAGAAATAGAGCGTAACGGAGGTCTTTTTTATCCAATCACTAAAATTTCACCCACGAGAACTGCTTTTCCTGGTTACATACAATTTGGTGCTGAATTTGTTTCCCATCAACATACCAGAAATTGTTTCTTTTATTTTACGTTTTATAAGACATTTACCTTATTATTATTCGTCGTGTTATTTCCGGTATTTTTATTAATAAGTTTACCCCCTTTCACATTATTTGGTTTACCATTGGCTTGTAAATTTACTAGAGAGTTTGGTGAAGAAATAGTTGTTCATGCTAGGTATTTCTTGGCACCAGGTTGGAGATTTAATGGAAGAAATCAAAATCAAAATCTAGATCAAACTCAAATTCCGAATCAAACCCAAACCCAAATTCAAATAAATCAAGAAATTCAAAATTAACCAATTCAAGATCAAATGCAAAAGATCTAAATCAAGATCGAAATCCATGAATTTACTGACAATCCTTTAAATTGGATTTGAATTTCTTTCTTTCTTTTTTTTTTGTTTTTGTAAATTAGATTATCATTTCATTGATTTAAAAAATTCACTCTTTTATAATTGCTTTGGATTATAAATTTATACTGTATGTCAAAACGAAATCAGCATGAAATTGTAGATATTTTTTTTTTTTTATCACAACATGAATTATATTAAGCGAATTCGTCGGCAGAAATAATCTAATTTATTTAACACCACATACTTAACTGTAAATAAATTTTATGGTATAAAGTTTAAATCTTGTAAAATTTTGTTGCTCCAATTAATAGAAATCAAAAATCAAAATCAATGTTATAAATTTTAAACCTTTTGGTGTCAAATGAACTGGCATTAATGTATATGATGTGATAAATGTAACGCTAGAATCGCCGCCGGATGTTATATTATAAGAAGAAGAAAGAAACTGATCTAGCTATAAATATCACATCACATCCTATGTCAACGATAATAAGGAAATGTTAAAAAGGGCAATCTTTCGGTAAGTTGGTCAATTATTTCCTCCGGTAAATCTGGTAAGTCTCCATCAAAAACAAAATTTCGAAGGTAGCAATAACGTAAAGAAATTTGTTTATAACGTAATTTTTATTGATAGGTTACAGATTCAGCATGCTTTTACTAGGTAATGTCTTATACTTCTTTTAAAAAAAAAATTTATGTCTATCATATTAGTTTTGGAAAAAATAAAAAATAGTACGTTTGTTCTTGACCCATTTACAATCCCTATGAAATTATTTAATAAATTAACCATTCACGAAAAAGCAATCCTCGATGAGATAACTGAAATTGTTGACAAGATTGAAAAATAAGTCTATTAACGATAAAATAGAACGTAAGTACCTTCTCGTCTGAAATGCAAAAGTTAAATATGACAAAAATAATAGAATTTTATTAATATCTTTTTTTTTTGTATTGATTTTTAATAAACGTTTTTGTTACATAAATATTTGATCTGGTTCAATTTTCCGCCAGAATTAAGATTTATATTTTACAAAATAATTTCACTACCTCCTCTCGACAAATTTTTAAATGCCTACCTGAGTTAAATTTTAAACTGTTAATTATATGGTCAGTTAGCTACTTTCTATAATGACTTTAGAGGATTCATTATACTTCTTAATTTACAAAAAAGAAGGACTTTTAATAATAAACTTGCAATAAAGTTAATATTACTTTCTAAAATATAAATTCACAGATGTTTAATAATTATTAATTTTACTATTTAACGTTAAAAAGGAAATTTAACGGTCATGACATTTGAAACTGTCTGTTCGTCTATCCAATTCTGAATAATTTAAAATACAGTTAAAAATTTTTAATTTATTTTTTGTCTTTTTCGTTGAGGAGTAAATGGAAAAAGTCGAAACCCTATATTTCGACGAATTTGTTAATAAGTATATAATATAGTTTTGATTTTTGACGGGATTTTATTATGGTTTCGAGTTTCTACGGGTTGGCCAATAAGGTTTTATTACAGTTTTGCCAATGACCCCGTCGAGTTTAGCCAGGCAACTATAATCACAACATTCGACAGATTAAAAATTCACATTTATATCATATGATTTACTGTTGACTTTTAATGAAAACGACCTGATTCTATAATATCTTTTATAATAAAAAGTTAATATTTTTCATTTTTTAAGATTTGGAAGATTAAAATTATTATTTTTTACATTCTCTCACATCTTATATTTTTTATAAAAATATTTTACGTCACGTAAATTTATTTAATTATAAATATAAAGTAAAAAATAAAAAAAGTATGATCGATAAAGAGAGTATATTAAAACAGGATTCTTCTTTAACAAAGCCACTTCATATTAAATTTTTTGCCAATCTAGTAAAATGATTAACTAAATGGATTTTATTGGTGGAATGAGTAAATTGACAGCGTAGGTTACTGGATGATGTACTTTTGGTGTGATAAGATTGCGCGATCGTTGTCATTTCTTTTAAAGAAGAACTATTTGAATCGCTGCTATATAATACTGTATAGAAATATAATGGAGATCTGAAAGTTCCAAAGAACAATTAGGATTTAAATTAAATTACGTAGCAATACATGAATTTAAAAATTATTACCCTCTGGTTTGATTTTCTTTACAAATTTCATGAAGCTGCATTTTTGGAGAATCACATTCTCCATCAGATAAGAATATAACAATATTTGTTCTAAAAAAGTGAAAAAATTTTAAGGTTGTGCTAAGTATACTAATAACTTATTTTTTTGTTGAAAACTAATAATACCTTGTGGAATAATAATGAGATGAAATCAAAGATCCAGCTTTCTGAATTGCGAGTTCGAAACTCTTTAAACCACAAGGTTGGTGTTCAATCATTTTATCTAACAAGTTCTTCGGATCTTTTAGATCTTGATACTCAAACGGAACGATAACCTTTAATTATTAAATAATTAGTATACTGTAAATATTAAAAATTAATAAAATTAATAGATCTAAATAATAACGAGTAAAATCAAACCTCGTGATTAAATAAGATCAAAGATAATTTATCATGTATGACTTGATGTTGATTTGTTTGAACAAAATTCATACGTGCATTCATAAATTGATACACCTAATATTAAAAGTTTAAATAAAGACTAGGTCTTACAAAGAAATTAATACAACCTTTAATCATACCGCGTGAAAGACTGCGCTAAGCCTATTATGACCGTTAGGATCCCAGGACGTAAAAATGTTGTATATTAATTGGCCTTGAATTGGTCTTGCCATAGAAGATGAACGATCCAAGACAAATATAATATGAAAAGTTGCACGTGAACTTGGATTCTCACAATTAAAATGATGTCCATCTTTGGATATATATCCAATATCATTAGGGGGATTTGAATTCGGATCAAGTTGAGCATGAAAAAGAGGTAATTCACAAAAAGATTCGCTTGTAGATCTCTCAGATTTATGATGCCTTTCATCGGGACATTCATGATCACATTTCGCAAATTCTTGTTGTTCTTGAACAGAATAAGGATCTAAAATTTAGAAAAGCTAAATATGTGTGTGTATAAATAAAGTAACATACAAAATTATTTAATATGTATTACCTTTAAAACCCGTTCGTTCACAGAACAATTTGTGAGAAATGTAATCTTTTGGTTTACTAGGATTATGTTGCACTTGTTCTACATGAAATAGTTAACATAAATGCTATTACGTATAAAAATAAAAGCATAAATTACCATTATTATGCTGGATATCTTGTCCTTGACAAATATCTGGACTTTGACAATAATCAATATGACGGTGTCTTCCTAAATCTTTACAAAACTAATACAGGAATTTCTTAAAATTCAAGTCGCAAAATAATAATATAAATAAAAAATTATAAGTAACATACCAGGTTACAAAGAACAAAAGTTCCTCGATCACCAACTCTTAACTTATGTCTAATTAAAAATCTTTTAATAAAAAATACAATATATAATTATAATTAATCACGCAATATCACTTTATACTATACCCTGCATATTCAAATTCATTATCTACACTAGTAAACTCAGGTTGTATCATATTTCCATGTGATGTGCTATGTATTTGCGTGTGCCCATAGGGTAAAGTACACAAATTTAAATATTGTATTAGCATATTATTATAAACAAACAAAGGATTTTTTTTTGCGATACATACATAATATTCACAGAATTGGCATTTTACATCACAAAAATGAAAACCATATTCTTGTGTAAGGTTATCATTTGTAAGATGCGTATGCTTTCCAGTATGTTTAAATTCATTTGGAGGAATCTTTATGTTACATTTCAATCTTTCACTTAACTGAATATACTGTTATAATAATAAATTAACATCAAAAATTAATAAATCAATTTTTATCACAATTATTATATATGAACCTATACCTTAGTAGAAGTTTCTTCAATTCCTTTATAAACCTCCTCTTGTTTCTTGGGTTCAAGTATTACTTTGCATATTCCATCATCTTCGCATAACTCCCGACATTGATGTTCATTTCTGTAAACATAAATAATTTAATGAATATTCAAAGAAAGCAAATAACATCTTCATATTAATACATACCCACAAAAATGATCCACTTGCGAATTAGAATCAGAGTGAAAATGATCATTTCTTTGACATTTTCTCTGACAATCCGAAATTGAACATTGAATTGGACACGTTTCATTTTCACAGCGATGTAAATCATGTTCTTCTTCATATGGTACGATACATTTATTAGGACAATGATAATCTCCTTTCGAAAATTTTGTTGATAATGAGCAAGCTTTTCCACAATGATGACGTGAAGATTGACATAAATGTTCACCATTATGTCCAATTTCTTTCAAACAAACTCAGGCAATTTCGCTTATCGACAAGATTACATAATTGACCGCACGAAGTATTCGAATGACTCATTTCATTACAAACATGCTTGCCTTCATGTCCAGCTTCATGACCACATACCATTATTTTGTTGTGGCTGTAAGTAAAATGGCAAATATAATTGCACTTATGATCAGTTAAACAATCATGATCATCTTCGTGATCACGATTTTTAACACATTTTAGACCACATTGATGACATGTTAATCCACACAACGTCCATAAAATTATAAATTTGCTTATTTCTTGCTCCATTGCATACTTGCCGATAACAATGTCGCTGTTTTGATTATTTTGCTGAGAAAACTGGGCAGTATTTTGCATATACCAATCTTGAACACGTAAAACTCTGCGTTCAACAATAGAGTTAATGAATCTATTCAAGTTGGCAAACCATTTGGCATCATCAGATGAGTCTTTTCGTGGCTGTACATTTTCTTTAAAGTAAGCTCTTAAATTTTCAGAAAGTTTGACAAAAGACTCGAATTCACCATATAATTGGAGACCAGAATCCGGTAATATTCGATCGGAATTTTTGAAGTCGTGTAAAATTTCAGAAAATTTGGCTGTTGGGTCATCAATCAGTGCTCCAGTATCGTGATTCTAATGAATTAATAAATAAAATACATAAATTTCTAACTTCATATAAATTTACAAGTTAAAACAATTATTACCATTACAGTTATTAGTAATTTTTTTAATGAAACAACGCGGATTTGTATGAGGTTTTCGTCTAACGATCTCCAATCACAATTCTAAAATCATAAATATAAAAAAGTAAGCTTCTTTCTAGTCAAAAATAAAATTTTCATTACAAGATACATTTATGATGAATGGTATCGGACCTTTAATTTAGCCATAATTACTTTCGTACTTTGTAGAAAAGTCCGTGCATTGTCATATTTGGCTTCCAACATATCTAACCTAAGATTCACTTTTGATAATGTTTTCAACCATGCAGTCTCATTAAACATTGGCCAAGGAATAATATCCAATCCACCTTGATACATTCTTGAGATGGAATTATTTTCACCTTCCTTTAAACATTAAAATTATTTTTAAAAATTAAACTTTACCGCACCAAAGAAATACAATTTGATAATAATAAAATAATAATAATACCTCTGAAACTATTTGAGAAAATTTTAAATCAAATTCCTGAACAATGCCTTCATTATCAACCTTAGGTACATCCTTGATTATAACACAAAGTTTTGCCTAAATCATTGAAGAAATTAATTAAAACATTTATTTATAATCGGAAATAAAAGCATTGTATTTGTACCTAAAATAATTTTGGATCTGATTTAAATAACATAGCTCCGTCTTGAAATCTCTGGAACATTGAAGAAATATCTCTATTGACTGCAAATTGATTCTGTTTAAAATTTAAAGGATTTATATGAGCTAAAATTTGTAAAGAACTAATATACAATAATGCGATATTACCTTAAATAGTATGAGATTTGATATGACAGTATTAAAAAGTGTTAAAAATATGTCTAAAACAAAAACAAAATAAAATTAATATCATGAATATCTCAAATAAAAGGATAAGTTACATATTAAATTGCAAATTTACCTTCTTGAGGGCTTCTTTCCAGAGAATTTAAACCTTCAAAATAAAGTGCGACATATATATATTCCTTGGTATTAACTATTTTTTTAAAAAAGAAAAATTAGATAACTTTTATGCAAAGAATATCAAGGAGTTAACTTATTTTACCTAGTGACATCCAGACACCTTCAGTACAACGCTGAATGAACATTTTTTTAATAATTTTTTCCTAAATAAATTAATTAAGAAATTCTTACCATTGCAGAGCCATCAAAGGAAGTTCCAACAAGAAGATTTAGCATGAACGATTTTCCGCGTGATTGTTCCCCCATACTAGAAACAACCTTTACTTTTTTATCACCGAAATGTTTGAAAATCCCTTCGTACCATCCAAAAGAAATGTTTTCTGTAATATTATTAACATGTCCATAGCCATCAAATTCAACATTTGAAAGATAATCCATCCCTGAGAGGTTGAAACAAGTTATTTTTGCTACTGCAATTTGTATAGGAATCAAACAACAAAGTTGATTAATCCAATCTCCTAATTTATATTTTGATGAGTACTTTTGAAAGTTTACATTTTTAATATCAAATTCCTTGAAAGTAATGACAGACGTAGAAAATTTTTTTAGGAGTGTTGAGGGCTTTTTTGTGGAACTCTTTAAATCTTTAAAAATTTCAGAAATGTATTCCTCAAATTTCTCTTCATATTCTTCGATTTTATCATGATTCACAAGATCAAGAACTATCTTCAAATGAAGAGGACGACTCTGTTCAAGATCTACGCAATTGTCAACTGGATATTTCTCAAACATTAATTTATAAGCATCGATGAGACCATTTAATTTGGATTTTGGCTCAATGCGGAAATTCATCCAATTATCAAATCCACTTAAAGTATTGAAATTACCAGAAATTTTTAACTTTGTGTCTGAAAGAACATCGATTACACTAAATTTTTCTCCCATTAACACTATATATTCTCCACTTTGGACGATCTATTTAAAGCGTGTATTCTCTCCTTCGATAATAGTATTAACTAATCTCACACGCCCAAGTAACTGATTTTGCATTCGTTTTTGGAAACGATATTGAGTTTTTTCGAGAGTTATTTTAATTATTGAGGAATTAAATCATCCATTTTTTAAATCAATTGACATTAAATGAGTCTGTAAGTTATTAATACAAGTAAATTGCAAGATTTCCAAGGATTGAAGATTTGGTGGTAAGTCAACAACTATAAGAAACGAAAGCATTAATTTACCAAAAAGAATTATATGAATATTTATAAATCATAATTTATTAGTTTTAAATTACCTTTATTAACAGAACCACCAAATTTTGTGCAAAAATAAACATAAGCACGGGATATTTCTTTGTTGTTGGCATCGACAGAATTATTTTCGCTATTAGGGTTATTATACTCTAACTTTTCTTTTACAAACGCTACAGTACATGATCCATCTGATGAACTCAAAACATTTACAGTATTTGATGGAAAACTACAAACTGCTGGTCGAAATTGCTTAGTTATAAGATTGTAAATACGTGCCCGACAATCTTGTTCAATAAAGCAGAGCTCCTCGGTGCCTTTAATAAAAAACAAATGCTGAAGATTCGGGACCATATTATTATACCATTGTAGTAACTGGATATTTGGATTTCGAGCATATAAATATTTTTGTTCATCATTAAAAGAAAGTACATTCAACTATTTTAAAAATATTTTAATAAGCTTTAGGTTATTATTAAAAACTATAATAACAAAGAAATATTTAACATACCGAAAATTTTTTTTGTGTCATATATAGCGATTAACTCTTTAGGCTCATTAACCGCAATAAGTATATTTTAATCTATATTCAAAGATTTAAATGGTTTAATTGAATATTTGAAATTATGTTCTAACCGTTGAGCAGTGTCAAAGAATATCTCAATTTTTTGGTTTTCTTTATTGTAAAGCACAAGAAGAAATTTGCGATTTTCAAATTGGGATATTTTCTGAAATTTATAAATATTATCAGACAAGACAAAAAAATAATTTAAGAAAATCAAAAATCATTAAATCATTACCTGAAATCGTAAATTGAAGAATCAATCCGAAAAGTAACATGAACTAAATTTTGGTATTGGGATATAAAACTCTTCCTTATGTAGATGAAAGGACTCTGATTGATCTAATGATGTCTCGCAAATTGTTAATTGTAGTTGTTTGTTTCAATTATTTCAAGCTCATGTTTGAAACAGAAATAATTATCGACCCTAGCCGGATAATTAGAGCAAGAATTGCATACTAAACATTAAATAAAATGTTAAAACGTTTTGTCATTAATTATTATAAAGTTTCATAACTTACCTGTTATATTCAGTATGTTCATTCGCAAAGTTCTAATGAATATTTTTTAACAAAAAAAAAAATTATTTGATACCGATTAATCAATTAATATTTAGTTAATTAAGTCTTACCCATTATTTTGATATTTTTCTTCTATTACATTACAAAGACTTTGAAATTCACGAGATTCAATATTTCGTTTTTCTTGCTCAAATTCTTCCTTTAAGTGATGTGATAATTTTTGAATGAGAGAATCTTTTTGTAGAATTTCTTTAATTTCATTAGAAAAGGTAACTTTCAATTTTTTGTATTCTTCTAAAAAAATACTTATTAATTTTTTCTTATCCTTTCCAAGAAACGATGAATAAATAAGATCTCGTATAAATTTTTCATCTGATATACTTTTAATATTCATAAGGTCTTGGAGAGATTTTACATCTGAAAGATTTTTGGAATGAAATAAATCTTGTAAAGCTTTTGTATCTGACAGATTTTTGGAATTAATAAGGTTAGACAAATTGTTGGATTTAATAAGTTGATATACAAATTTTATAAACGTGTTTTTGCTAGAGAATAGTGATAAAAATTTATCACGTAATCCTTTAAATTCGTTAGTTTCCTCAGTTTCCTTAGCTTCCATGAACATATTATAAAAAGCCTGACTTGTAGATTCTTCGGTCATTTCCAATATATCAAAAATAATTGTAGAAGTTAAAATATTTTGTGGAATTGATTTTGATTTTTTTTTCAATTTCGCACTCTTTATTAGGATATTTTGAACGGATCCTTTCTAAATCTAATTAATAAACAGAGGTTAAATAAAAAATGAAGATTATAAATAATCCCTAAAGTATTAATACGATACTTAACCCCTATCACTTATATCAATTATATTTACTCGTAAAGACTAAATTTCCGAGGACTCTCGATCAAGCTCTTCAAAAAGCCTGAAAATAAGTACAATCAATTAATGGTTATTTTTCTTTTTAAAACAAAATAAATATATACCTATAACGATCATTTAATTTTTTCCATGCTAAATTTGAAATTATATCACAATCCTTTTTTATTATATCAATTTCATGATTCTTGTTTTCTACGAAATAATCCCAAAAGTTCATCCTCCATTTTTAGACCATGTATAATCAAGATTTCTAATGATTTCATGTCCATTGTTCTACGATCAATATATAATCGTCGTTCTTTTAAACTAGACTGAAGCTTTTGTGAAAATTCCCATTCATTAATTGCTATAATTAATTCTCGCATACATGAAGTCTTCTTTGTTAATTTACGAGTAGCAAACGATTTATTTGTAGCAGATTCAATAACTAAATCAAATAAAAAATAATAGCGGGTCAAAAACGAATATTGTCGAATTCATTTCATAGAATACAAATTATTACCAATAGGATGCAAGGGTACACCATCTTCTTGAGTATTTTGTATTTCGGTTTTTATATTATCGAATAAATCCACCTTAATAATTGAAAACATATTAAATACATTACATTTTATACAATATAAATAAATTTAAATATAAACCTTAAAGCCGGTATATATTTTAAAGTCATCCTGTACTTCATGACTTTTCTTGACTTCAAATTCATAAAACCCTTTTATCGTCGTCTGAATCAACATCGGTATTGTATAAATTCCAATCGAAACTTTCTAAGTCTTCATCACTCATATGGCAAAGCTGATGCTCGGTAACCTTTGTCAAATATCTATAGGTTTGTAAATTAAAATTTAATTAAAGTTTAAACATTTAGAAATTAAACTGCAGAATAAATAGATGATACCTATGTAGGTTAGTCATATTCTTTTTACATTGTGAAGGAGAATTTTCCTCGTAACATCCTACTTCGGGCCAATGAATAACTAAACTAAAGTCTGGATTCACAACCAATAAGTAAATACCAGGACGTAAAAAAGGTTTATTTGAGTAGTCGAAAGAAGTATGCGAGACTATAAGCAATTCATAACTAAACAAAAGAACAAATTAAAATCTATGATTATTGAATAATTTTTTTACCTGGGATCTTACATACATTTGTTGATTAATAATCTCTAAATTCAACAAGAGTTTTGCAATTAAATGGCGATTTCCGTAACATCCAATAAGGCGAACAGAAATTGAGTTCAATTTTGTATAATTGATCTCAGAAATTGACTTTCGCATAGTTTTTTTAGATAATCCTTTGAGATAATTATTTTATCGACTAAAAAATTATGTTATGCTTTTGTTGAGTAATCTTTTATATTCAAATTCAAATTCGCAAAGCTGTAAAGAAACATTACAATACCATTCGAATCATCATCTTTGTGTAAGTCTAATAAACGATATAAACCAGGAATATATTTAACCAAGTCTTCACCGTTTATAATTTGGGGCGAGAAGTCTTTAGGTTCGATCCTTGCAGATTCCATTGATAAAGAACTTCCTGCGCTGCTTGTATTCTCCTGAATGTCTTTGAATATTATAGGAAATGATAAAATTATTAATAGATCAATAACATTTGCATCATGAAATTGAATTCTATTTTAGCGGCTGCGTAAAATAAATAACGTACTTTATATTTTACGTTGTTATCTGTTATTTAAGAAAAATTAAACTTTTCTACGAAAATAAATTTTTAATTTCTGAATTATTCTTCAGAAACTCCTCGACTTAAAAAACAATAGATTTACGCCATTAAATATATGTTGATCATAATTGCTTTATTTATAATGAAAGATACTCGTTATGGATATATGATTGTCACAATAAAGGTTAGTTTCGGGCACAATTGTGGTTTTAATAATTTATTTAAAGTTTGTGTAATAAACGGTAACATTATGAGAAGAGACTTTAATAATTTATATGAAAAATATATATAAAATTGAATAATTCCAAAATATTAGTAAAATTCAAGATTTCATCTTATGCTCAATTGGCGATTAATATGATTTATCGCCGTTTTCAAAATGGTGTGATCAGGTGATTTGTCGATCAATTATAATAAAAAACGGATTTTCGGATTACACTAAAGTAAACTTTAAAAAAACTTTCTTAAAGAAACTGTTTTTTCAAAACTTTTTAACTTTTATTAACCTTCATAACATAGAGTATTTGAGCCTTGTGGATTAGTGAGGTTTAATATGTAGAAGTTTCTTTTACCTTATAAAACGATTCCTAACTTCCTAGCGATTCCAAAACGATTCCCTAGCGATTACTACAATTATTGGCGAGATTCCTGTCGCGATTCCTAAGTAAGTTTTCTTCTAAAAGCTTCGTTTTAGCTTATACTTAACTTTTTTTTTTTATAAAATATATTTTAAGTAATGAGAAATGGTTTTTTGGATGAGTCTTTATCATTTTTTTAATAATTCATTCTAACATGAAATATTTGATTTTTTAGAAAAATGCAATAATTGTTAATTTATTTCATGGATCCAATATGTTCTTATAAATATATTTAGAAATATTTGATGTTTTAAATTACTAGAGAAATTATTTATTTTTTCAATAACGAGAACGAAAAAATTGTTTAGTTTTATTATATAATTTATTATTTTTAATGTAACATCTATTTTTGTGTTTTAATATTACTTTATTTTATTTTTTCGAGTGCTTTAATTTTTTTTTTTGTTGTTTTCAATGTTTTCGGTGTTTACGATATTTTTTTTTAATTGATCGACAAATCACCTCCTGATCACACTAATTCGAAAACGGCGATAATGGGTTTAACCGTTTTTAACTCGATTTTGAACCGAAACCTTCTAAGGCCCGTCGTAAAAAGATTTATTCAACAATTTACTTAATACGTTTCTTGTGTAGTTGGTTATTAGTCAAGTATATATGGTCACGATAAAGATTTTAAATTGTAAAGGTATCTATTATTTCAAGATTTCGGACGTCTCTTCAAGACTCGTCAATCTTATTCTTTGAACAAAGCGGATTTTCGGGTTTTATATACAAAATTTCTAAATACTAATTTTTTCTAAATATAACGAATATATCTAATAATTAAAATAATTAATTAATAAATTTATATAATAAAAAAAAAAAAAGAAAGCGAAAAACTATTATAATTATTTAACATATATACTTGATATAATTAATTTAAATGATATTTTTGACATTATTAACATTTCAATATTACTGAGCCATTCGTATATGCCGATTTCTTGTAACACCGGTTAATTATTTTTACCGGAAAATTGCATATTTGTGCTTAATTTAAATAAAAATTATAATATATTCGCTATCATTGAGTTTAACATGTTCTATATTGTCTTTTATCAAATGTGTAGTTTACGTTTCACTTTTTTTAAAAAAAGAAACCAACACTTTTCCCGAAAAAATTTAGAAAAAGGTTTCATCGGGCTAATGAAAAATAAAAATGTAAATAGTTAGATTGATTTTGAATATATTTGGGTTACTGACCTTGAACTAGTATAATCTAGGTTTTTATGCTTTCACCTCGTTTCAAACTTTCGTCACTAGTTCTCCGGCAATATCATTTTGATGATTATTTACTACAAATTTGATTCCAGCGCAAAGGTTCATACTCCTTCTGTATTGCAATATGTTTTGCATACGTTCTCAAACACTCCGATTCTGAAACTTTATTATATAGAGTTTTTGGAATAATTACTACTAGAAAAGCTTATAAAAATCGTAAATTTTATTTTATTTTTATAATCTATCTAATTATTGGATTTAGGACACATGGTATCCTGAAATGGTTCATCAACTAATTTTCGAATATTTTTATATAAATATTCTTGACGCGCTAATAATAAAGGTTTAGAAGAAAATATAGTTATCGGAGTCCAAACATTGAAATGGTTGATTTTTAAAATATCAAAACACTGAAATTCTCCTCCCGCCACTTTTTGAGTAAATATTTTTCCTGGTTCACTTCTTTTAAACCAAAAATGTCGATATTTTTGAATGTCAGGTAAATTTTGAAAATGAGGTTTTAAAAATGATTCAAAATCATAATATTTCGATTATTATAGCGAATAGTATGATTAGAATTATTTTTGTAGACTTTTTTACTAACTTTTCAACATTGCTACTGTATTAACTCGCGTTTTTTCGAAAAAAAGCTTTAATATTACCAAAATATCCATCTGCATAGGTTTCTAATAGCATTCAATTTTTTTTTTTTTTTTTTTTTTTTTTTTTTTTTACAAATTTAGAATAATTTATTGTTTCATTATATTTAAATGTTTATACTTTCTTCTTTTGTTCTCTAGTAAAAGAACAATTTGAAACTTATATTATTATACTCTAACAATGGCCTACTTTATCCTGTATATGTGTTTAGATCTAACATGCGTTATGTCAGAAAATTTACGAACATTTATCTAATGATTCAGAATTCCTCAAATATAGGCAATATAAATCCAGGCATGAGAACGTCATTTCAGTGACTACTAAACATTTCGTCCTGATTTCTTCACCAATTTTCTCATCAGATATAATAAGAAAAGATTTATTGACTTTTGACATTTAATTAAGATCAATCAAAAAAACGCTATTAATAAATTTTCGGAACTATAAATAATGATTTTTTAAATTTAAAATGAATAAAATTATTATTTTTTATATTATTTAATGATCTACTGTATATAAACTTGACGTTTGTAATAAATTTCTTATTGAATTCGATAAATCTTATCTAAAATAACATTAGAGCCATTAACTATAGGAATTTATTTTCTTTAATTTTTTCAATAAAAATATACTATATCCCATTTAATTGCTAAAATTAATAAGCGCTACGCAATATAATACTTAAGTGAAATGGAAAATGCCACCAATTTCAAGGAAGCGTGAGATACGGGTTCAAAAATTAGAAAAATTAGAAACAAAATACAATTAGAAGCAAAGAGAATTATTAACTTTATGAAATAATGAAAATGGACGTTGGTAATGTGAAAATCAAAAAAAAGCAGATTAAATTAATGTCCACAATTCATCATTGGTCTGATAAAACGGCTAATCATGTCATGTCATTAATAGTAAAAGTACATTTCATCAAAAGATACAGAGGATTTCTGTTACTTTCGTGGGTTTTCCAATGATTTAAGGGGCATATAAAATTATTTGAAGGAAAAAAGTGTGTGTAACGTAATCATTGTAAAATTATCAAGTTATCAAAGGTCTAACAAATCTTATGAAGGCGCTGTAAATTCTTTGCGCAGCTTGTCGTTCAATTAAATATACTTACTCTTTCTTACACGATTTAAATTCACAGAAAATATCAACGCCTTTCATCCGAAATGATTTTTTTATGACGTATAATTAATTTATTAACGATAAAGATGGTTTAATTGGAAATTCATAAATACAGACAACATATGTTATAAATATTAGATTTTTAAACACTTAATAACGAACTTTAAATATAAATACTGTTTGATAATAAATTTATTGTTTTCTTGATTTACTATTCTATTAATGATAAATTAATATTTATAAATTCATCATTAAATTCGTAGAACACAATAACAAAAAAATCAATTTTGTCAGTAAAATTTCTAACTAAAGGTTATTGAAAAATATTTAATATAAAAGAAAATGAAATTCTGAGATTCTAATTTACTTTACTTAATGATTGCATTGCATTGAGTAATTTATCAATCTTACTATTGATCTCATCATTCCTACGATTAAGATCATTAATCTTATTATTAAGATCATGAATACTAATTTCTTCTTCTTTAGCACCTTTATTATCAACCTCAGTAAAACTAATTTCTTTTTCCTTTCCTTTAATTTCAGAACTATCAACATCACCGGAATAATCATCATCTTCATCCTCATATGTTAAATTTCTTTCAACCATTTCCTTTTCATAATCCTCATATAAGGTTTTTTCCTTATATTTTTCAACATTCGCATCCCATTTATCATAACTTTTTGATTTACCTATATAATAAATATATTTTGGTTCTGGTGATGGAGGAGAAAAATATATTTCATCTAATGCCTCATAATCTGAAATTAATGAGGCACGAAATCGTAAAAATGTAACACGACCTTTCTCATATGCTTTAGAAAACACACCCCTAGTAATAAATATTTAATTATTTTAATGCTTAGGTTCAAAAAAAAACTTGGAGAAAATGAAATAAAACATACCCCATAAAAGCAATAAACATATTTTGTAAAATGGTTACTAAAAGAATGCTACCAATAAAAGTGATAACTTTTACTGCCCAAAAGTTCCATGTGTCCTGTTGTGAAAAATTACCACTTAACCAATTAAATGTTGAAAGAAATGAGATAATGAAATTTTTAGCTGGGTTATCTTCAGTTCGATCAAAATCTTTTTGAATTTTAAGTTCAGTTGAATCACCCGTAAATAATGTAGATGATGATGTATTTTCTGTAAGATTTGTAAAATCAGGATATTGTAATAATAATAAAAAACTATGTGCAAATCCTGCGATTACAAGCATCATAAAATAAAGAAAATTCCCAGTGTGGCTAATAATATTTAATATAATATATATGTATGTTGCTGGTACTAAAAGAAACGATTATTATAGAAATTAAATATATTTAATATGGAGATAAAAATCAATGCAATTTTTCTATATTACCTGAGAATAATCGAAGATATAAAATCTATTTGATGATAAATCATTTTTAATACAAAAAATTTTTTTTTTTAATAAAAAAATTACTGGATACATACAAACTCTAACCACAGTAATAGAATAGTAAAAGAAATTGCAATAGTAATTTCTTGGCTGGTCTTAGCATTAGCAAAAGCGTTTTTAGTATTAAATGAAGGAATAACATAATATGACATTACAAAAATTGCCAAGAGAGCTGAAGTTAAATCTAAAAAATTAAAAAAATTCGAAATATACATCCGACCTCGATGCCTAAACTGTCTATATTCTACAATTAATAAATAGTATCCTAAATAATAGAAAAGAATTAAAAGGAATAATAAAAAATTACAATGGTTTCCTGTTATTTCAGAATGTGCAACGTAATTTCCACAAATAATTGCAAAACAGGCAGCGAATAAAATATACACAAAGAAGAGTCGAAGAAAATATTTTCTTGCTAGACGCCATTTGTAATTAATTACAGCTTCCATTACTGGACTATTAAATATGTCATTACTATTAAATATGTCAATATTACATCTTGATCTAATGATTTGGTCAAATGGACTAAGTTGAGACAAATTTTTTGCGTTAACTAAATAACCTCGAGGAATAAATAATAATTTCAATATTTTTTTAATTAATGAATCTTCATGGTCGTCAGTTTTTTGAGATATATTATTAACAGTAAAATTATGTAAAGGAACTATTTTTACAACTGGAAAATAGTTTTCATAATTTCTAGCTTCAAAATTGGATTTCTGCACAATTGTCAATTTAAAATTCAAATTTGGTTTAAATGCTATAAACTTTTTTGAAATAATATAAAAGTCTTCAGGCATAAAATCCATATATTCAATAATATTTGATATTTCTATACCTTCCATGCATGGTTTGCAAAATAATTCGCTCACTAAATACTCTATTGAAAATAAAATAAAAAGTTAAAAACGATCTTAACAAAAATAATAATATAAAAATAATACAAACCTAATTTATAAGTATATAAATCTGGTAATGCTTTAGAAATAGTAATTAACCATCCATGATTTTCAGTTGCATTTTTTGTATAATATTCAAGTAAATAAGTTACAACTAAAATTCTACGATTACGTTCAATATCTATAAAAAAAAATGATTTATTAATATCAAATACTTAATTTTATAAATCTTTAAATAATGGAATCACCTGTTTCACACAATTTAATAGCTAGTTGTAAATCACTGAGTTTACTAAAATCAATTTTTTCCTTTGTTGGTTTTTTCAAATCATTTGTTTTAGTAATTTTTTCAGAACTAATCCATCGAGTTATTCTTGTTATATGTAAATATTTAAGCTTTACTTTTTCATCGCCAAATAGAATAAATTTAATGAGAGTGTTTGTGCCACCAATTATAATTTTTGCCATAAGGTTATAATGAACATCCAACACTTTCCAAATGTTCGGATAATCTCTAATAAATTTCCAAACTATAAGAGAAATATTATACTTAATTTCCTCAAATACTATATTAATAGAAAATATTAATGTTAAAGAAAAAAAATTATTAAAAAAACTTTTTAAAAAAATAATTACCATGCTGATTCTCATATCTATATCTTTGATAGTTTAGAAATTCAAGGGAATCGCAAGCATGCTTAATTAAATTAATATCATCATCATCATTATAGAACCATTTAATCTGTTTGTTATTTTCTAACTTGATAGAAAAGCCATTTTCATAAACCTCTAATTCTAATATTTGTAATTTATAATCTTCAGTAACCCAAAAATATTTAAGAACGAAATTTTCTTTTTGCTTAATTTTACACCATATTTGAATAGTATTTTTTCCAATATATAACTGCAATGATTCTTTTTGGTCAAGATATACCCATGTCTTTTTATAATTATCTGTTGTCCATGGTTCTATATTATCTTTAAAAATTTGTGCTTCTTTTTTTGAAAGATCTTGATGATAAACAATATTATTATCAAAATTTAATACGTTCATTTCAGTTGGAAGTACTTTACCATCTCTGTATATTATAAATTTTGGTGTAGAATCATTTGCATCTTTCATGCTAACTAATGAATTTAAACTATCATACATCGATAATATTCTTCCATTTTTATTAACAAATACATATTTACCAGGAATTTTTGCACTATTAAAAAAACTAATATCAACTTCATTTAATTCAATATCATATTGATATTCATTTGTATATAAATTCCAAAGTAAAATGTTTATCCTCTGGTGTTTAGCTTTTTTAATAATTATCATCAATTTATTATCATCCTTAAAATCAGAAGCAATTATTTTTGTATCCTTTCCAGAATCTTTATGAATAATTTTTAGACCATTTTCTATTAAATAAAGAGCCAATTTTCCATATCCAGAAGAAAAGGCAATCATTTGCTCATTTTCTGAAACAGCTAATATGGATTTGCTATATTTATTTGAATAATTTTTTTCTTCGTTTATGTTAAAAAACTGTTGTATTTGCATAGTTCTTAGATCATATAATTGCATAACTTGAATTCCTTTTCTACATTGCTCGATATAAAAATAATGATCAAAAATACAATTTTTAATTCGAAGAATACAAGATTTGTTCTTAGATAAAGTATCTAATACAATTATAAGGCTTTTTGGATAATTGAAATGCTCAAAATTCTTTAAACAAATATTATCAAATTCACAAAGTGAGAGTTTATAGATTCCGTTAGCATTAAAGATAAAGCAATCTGTTTTACTAGAATTGTTTTTCTCATGAACAAAAGAAACAATTCCACCAATTTCTTCTTTTTTATATGGTTTAATTTTTTCTTGCTTAGTTGAATCTAAAGCTACTTTATAGATAATCGTTTTTTCATTCAAAGGTTGCTCTCTTTTATCACTATCAATACTGGTTTGATCATCAATATCAATAACGGATTCATCTTTTTTAACTTGTATATCAATTTCTATTACACATGATATTGCAACAAAGATGAAATTATCTTTCATAATTTCAAAATTATTTGATATTGCTAACATATATATACTTTCAAATTGAGATTTATGTTCTTCAAAGTGACCATCGTCAAATTTATATGAGTTTGCATTATCGATTTCATTATATTGACTATATTTAATAATTTTAAACTCCATAGTTTCTATAATACAAATATGAAGAATTAATTTACAGAATAACAATGTAAATGATAATAAATTTAAATTACCATGATTAAATATAACGATAAATTCTCCATTTGGGCTAATAGAAATGTGCCAATCTGAATTTTTTTGGCTCAAATGATCTTTTATATCAAATTCTATTTATTATCGATTATTAAGTTAATAAATAATTCTTATGTTTTTAAAATAATTATAATTGCATACAGCTCTGGTTCCATTTTTTAACTTTGTCACATATTATATCAGAAATATAGATTATAAATATTTACCTTCTAAAATATTTAATTACAAAAAGATTTGCCTTATTTAATTATCTAATAAACATTAAAATATACAATAAACAACTTACCTGCTAAAGTTATTGAATATTTTAATAAACATAATAAAAAATAAAGCTAAATTTATATAGTAGAAAATAAATTACTTACTAACTATAATAAATAAGATTCAGTTGAAATAATGATATATCATGTTAATTATAATAAATCTAGAGTTTATAAATCATACAATAATTAGAAATAAAATAACTTACATCCTATATCATCAAACATTGAATAATATTAAATTCTAAATTAGTAAATTTTATAAAATTTGCATAAATAACGATAATTAGTAATCAAATAACTTACCGGCTATATCATCAAGAATTTAAAATTACAATATTATAAATTGATTAGAGTTTATAAAATTATCGATTGATAAATATAAAATACAATTAGAAACAATTAATCAAAAATAAATTACTGTTTTTAGTAATATTATAGGATATTTTTAAAGTGTCAAATTTTAAGCATATCAAATATTGTACTTACCTTTGGATGTAAAAGATTCTAATTATTTTTGAGGTATATTTTTTTATAAAACTACTTAGTTATAAGCTTGGTATGAACAAGTTACTAAATTTCACGCATACATGATATTATAATTACCTTTGAATATAACATTATACAAATTAATAGGGTACGCAAGAATCGAATGTATAGATAAATATCACATTTACCTTTATCTACAGAAATTTCTTCAATACTTGAAACTGAATCTAATATATTACGAATTATTTTTGCACGTCAAAATGTAGATCAAACTTACAAATATTAAATTTAAAATTTAATAGATAAATGTTTGTTGAAATAAGACAAAAAACTTTAATTACCCGCCATGGATTGTAAAATTGGGAGAGCAAATACAGCGTTTTCTAAAAAAAAAAAAATAAAAGAAAAAAAATATATATATAATTATATACACACAGATCGACATCTATTGTTTTTTGCCTTAAATGGATGTAGATTGAAGCTTGCTTAATATAGAATGATCATATACGCCTTGTAGCATGAAGGAAATGTCGCACCACTTGAAAATTCGTCTTAAAGAATCTTTTAAATTCGGAACAAAAACTGGATTGTGTCTAATTTTAAAACATTCGTAATTACCACGGGAAACAATGAAATATTCACTCCCCCATATGATAAACTTATTGCGGCCCGTAGAACCTAAATCCTCTCATTTGACGCAGTGCTGCGGATGCGCAATAACTTCTGCGGCTCACCTTAAATGTCGAAGACAACCGTAATATAAAAACTAGATATCGTAAGGGAGAATCGAATTAAAAACATTTATGATATAAATCTAATTATATTATTATTTATTATTGTAAGTTTTTATTTATTAAAATCATATTTACGAAAATTTCGTTAAAATAATTTCCAAATATCTGCTTATGTTAAATTCGCTGCTTTTCAATATTTTCATCCAATTTTCCTTATTTTCGTATTTTATTACTTAAATTAAAATTTAGCGTTAGCACAAGAAAATATTTGACTATTGTCTTTCATTTTGATCCTCTTCGTTACGCATTCCCTTAAGTCAGAATTTAGCGATTACAAATAACGTGACTTAATTCAATAATTGTGGTGCCCAATTCCTAATTTCCTAACTTTAAATTAAGGCATGGTAATAGATTTCCAATTCCAAATTGCATGAATTTTATAATTGGACAATAAATCGGACATTTGCCCAAAATTGAAAATTTCAAGTTGGAATGCCCAGAATAGAAATTTTAATTTATGTAAGACCCTTTAACTCGTCTAAAATAAAATGAATTAAATTATTTATCAAGATCTTTTTTATTTTTAACACTATTTAATAAATTCAGACTGAAACACTTAATAACTTTATCATATAACAAGAATTACTGGCAAAATTTCCAACACTTTGTCCAAATTAATTGACCTTGTACTGTACACTATTAAATATGTCCTGTGGCCAAAATTCCCTAAGCCAAAATGTCACGTGGCATATTGTATTTAATATAATATTTTTTGAATTGATTTGATTTAAAAATTGGAAGTATATATATATCGACGATGTTTGAGTCAAATCTAGAACTCTCTTATTATTAAACCTTATGCTTACCTTTCTTTGCTATATAAGCGCAAAAATATTACCGTAAAACACCGAAAATAAGCACCTACCCAAAATAAGCACCTCCTAGACTTTCGTCATGGTGTAAGCAAAAACTAAAAATAAGCACCTCCGAAAATAAGCACTCTCTTATAGCTGATTGGTCAGTTGGATTCAATGCACGACGACGAAAAATCCATGCGTCAAAATTCCGAATTTTGACATTGGCGACGTAATATTCCGTCGATTTTTTGTCGTTATGCGTTAAAGTTCCGAATTTTGACATCGGGCGACGTAAAATTTTGTCGTCATGCGTTAAAATTTCGAAATTTGACATCGGTTTTTGTCGTCATGTGTTATAATCGAGGTTTTAATATACAACAATATGGATTTTATATCAGTTATAAATTTTTAATATATAAATAAATGAACTAAAAATGATTTATTAATGAATTTATACCAAATTCATTAAATCTTTTATTTAATCGTTAACAATTTCAATACTATCATCTAATTCATTTAAATTTTCCTTTTCATATTCTTCAATCAATTTATCAATCATTCATATACTTACTATTAATAAAAAAAGTATTTTTTTTTTGTATCCATCACCTGTTTACTGAAAAAATTTTTTCTTAATATTTTATTACCTATCTATCTACTTATTTTTTGCTTATTACAAAAATAATTGATTTTTTTTTGTATCTATTATTCAACTTATTACAAAAAATATTTTTCACGTCTATTAAAAAATAGCTTTTCATACTTGCTTATTTGCAAGTTTTTTTTTAACTTTTAAAAGATAGCAGAAAAAAGAGTAAGCACAAGAAAGAAAACATCATACTCAGTTGAAAAAAAATTAACAGTAATTAAATATGTTCAAAAATATGGAAGAAATGCTACAGCTAAAGCTCTGAATGGTTCAGATTAATCTGAAAATTTTTCAGTTCAGATTAACTTCAGTTCAGTTTCAGATTGCAAAAAATTCAATTCAAAAATTTTCAGTTCAGTTCAGATTTTTTTCAGATTATAAATCTAATCTGAACTGAAAAAAATCCAAACTGAACTGAAAATTTCGGATTAATCTGAAATTTCAGATCGTTTAGAATAATTAAATTTATCATTCTAAAAGAACAATAAAAGAATCATTCATTTGAAATGATTGAAGTTATCATTCCAAAAAAATGATAAGAAAATCGTTCAATTGGAATGATAAAATTATCATTCAATTGAAATAATTGAAATTATCATTCCAAATGAATAAAAAGAATTGTTTGATTGGAACGATTAAATTATCATTCTAAAGAATGATAAAGAATCATTCAATTAGAATAATTAAATTATCATTCCAAACGAATGATAAAAGAATCGTTCATTTGGAATAATTAAAGTTATCATTTCAAACAAATAATAAGAAAATCGTTCAATTGGAAAGATTAAATTATTATTCCAAAAGAACGATAAAAGAATCATTCATTTAGAACGATTGAAGTTATCATTCCAAATGAACGATAAGAAAATCATTCGATTGAAATGATTAAATTATCATTCCAAAAAGGATCATTTGATTGGAACAATGAAATTATTATTCCAAACGATCTAAAATTAATCCAAAATTTTCAGTTCAATTCATATTTTTACCAGTTTACAGTTCAGTTTGGTCTCAGATTGGCATTTTTAAGATTTATAATCTAAACTGAACTGAACTGAAATTTTCAGTTCAGTTTCAGATTGGCCCATAATCTGGACTGAACTGAACCGTTCAGAGCATTAGCTACAGTAAAACACTTTGATTTAGATGGTCCAATGATTGAAAGATGGATTAAGAAAAGTGAAGAATTAGAAAAAGAAAGTAAAAAATAAAAACATATTGATTCAGGAAAAAAGCTTTTTATTCTGAAGCAGAAAATCTTTTATATATTTAGATTATAGAGCAGAGAAAGAAAGGTTTATCTGTTAATTATATTTCTATTAGATTACAAATGTTTAAATTTCTCAAAGAACCTACCATCTAAGTATTATATCTAACAGGAGAATATGAATTTCAAGAAAGTTTTTCTTGGATTAGTTCTTTTATGAAAAGATTTAACCTATCATTAAGAAGAAGAACTAAAATTTCACAAAAATAACCTGAAGATTTAAAAACAAAATTAGAAGAATTTAGAAGATTTGTTATAAGGTTGAGGGTACAGTATAATTTTGATTTAAATAACATTTTC